GAGACCTTGTCTCTAAAAAAATAATAATTTATGATAACACAAACATCTCAAAGTAAATTCATACTTAGCCTATTTTTGTTAAAGCTAAATTATCCTATTTGTACTTTCGAAACCTTTTTATGATTAATATTAAGAAGAGATTAGAATCTCTTTAGTCTGTACATGTGGAATGAAGGTTGTCTTTAAATGAAACTTAAGGGACCTGGGACCTCTTTTATAGATTGGATACTGACATCAATATAAGCAGGGCTCATCTTAGTTTAGAATTACCAGCTGTATTTGGGAGTAATTAGGATATGCAATGACTTCTCTGCCAGGAGTTTATGTCACTCTTAGAACCATGCAGCCTACAAAAGAGATTCCTGTCAGTCCTGTTTTCACATGCTGGTGGGATTGGTCGAGTGTAACACTGTAAATCCTCTGCTCTTCTCTCAACAGTGCCTGACTCCTGATCAGCTGATGACATTATGCAAAGCAGGCATTCATAGTAGTAATGTTGGGGTTCGAGTGAACGTCGTTAGCATTTTAGGGATCACTGGCAGCATCCTAGCCAAAGAAGATGGTACACTTGAAACTCTTAAGGTAAAACAATTTCCTTCCAACTTAACATGTTAAGTAATTAGAAATGGGAGAAGAATAATTGAGAGTAAGATTTTTTAAATTTCTGTGGACATGAAGAGAAGAAATCATATCAAGAAGTTGCTGATTATATTATTAGGATATACCATTTGGCTTGATCTAACTACATGCATTAGGTACTTAAAAAGTTGAGCTGCATTTTGCAATTCAACTTTATTCCAGAGATACTTTTTCAAAAATAAAATTGTCTTCAGTGAAAGGTCAAATTCAGAATTTTCAAAGATGCTTTCTGCCTTTGCCATTGCGTAAACATATGTATGTTGTGTTCTGAACAATCCTCCCAGTTTTCTTTATACACCAGGTAAAGTGCGTTCTGAAAAATACCACACAGTTAATTCTAACAGCACTCCATAAATTTCAATCTGCAACTCTGGTAGTGCCAATACACTAGCAATTCACTCAATACTTTATCACAGAAAAATTGTTGTGCTGAAGAACTCACTCAGCACTTTATCACAGAGCAATTACTCACAAACTGCATTGCTAGAGATATAACATCGCTAGTGATTAAAAGGACAGAAATAGTAAAAATTACCCTTCATTGTGCTAATAATTGCTGAAGTGTTGATTATTGACTAGTGGGTAATAAACTGATTATTATAAAGTACCTCTTAACCTGCTAATTACTTTACAATGATGACTGATGTTTTTAAGAATTTTTTTTGGGAAAAATCATGTCTGCATCTGTTATTGTAATTGATCTCAGCAT